CCAAATGTCTGTCAACAGAATTGAAAAACAAATTGTGGCAAATCCATACAAATAGCATACTAACCAAAATGAAAAAACGAGTTATTGATACATAAAGTAGATGAATATCAAAAGAATTATGTGCAGTCAAAAGATGTCAGACAAAAAAAAAAGGGTACATGCTCTATGATTCCATTAATATAAAATTCTAGAAAATGTAATTCATATTGACAGCAGGTAGATCAGTAACTGCTTCATGGTAGAGATGGGAAGGGGTAAGAGGGAGGAATTACAGAGAGACAGCAGAAAGCTTTTGGGGGTAATGGATATGTTTGCTACCTTGACTGTAGTGAATAGTTTCACACATACGCACATAATGCAGAAATGTTACCAAATTGCACATGTTAAACATGCATGGCATATTATACGCTTAAGGGCGCCTGGGTGGCTCAGTCGGTTAAGCGACTGCCTTCGGCTCAGGTCATGATCCTGGAGTCCCGGGATCGAGTCCCGCATCAGGCTCCTCCCTGCTCAGCGGGGAGCCTGCTTCTCCCTCTGACCCTCCTCCCTCTCGTGCTCTCTGTCTCTCATTCTCTCTCTTGCAAATAAATAAATAAAATCTTAAAAAAAAAAATTATATGCTTAATATTCCTTAATAAAGCTGTTTCTAAGAGGGGAAGAACAACACATAGGGTGTGGAGCCGGCATGCCAGAGTCCAACCCAGCTCTGTTCCTGAGCAGTTGTGTGATCTCATGCCAGCAAGCAAATCTCTCTGTGCCTTAGGGTTTCTTGGGTACCGGCTCTGCGAGGATACTGGAGGACTGCAGAAGTTGACTGTGTCAGCGAAGTGCTAGACGTGCACTGAGCACAAACGTCCAGGCGTCGCTGGCTGCTGTGGCAGCTGAGGACTCTGCTCCACTTCCTGTTTCCTATTCACATGCCCATATCCTTTGCTACACAGGAAGAAACCCTAGCTCATGTTTTTTCCCAAGGCCCTGAATCAGCCTGGGAACTCTGAGTGAGCAATAGCAGGAGTGAGTCTGGGCAGAGGGCATGTCTCTGGATGGTCTTTCTAAGCAGCCAAGGCAGGGCTGGCCAGCAAGGCCTGAGAAGGATGGGTGACACAGAAGCAACTGGCAGGCAGCCAGGGAAGGGAGCCAGCTGCCCCAGAGAGATACCTGAGCTCTTTTCTGGGATTGAGAGAGCATTTTCTGGGTAAGGGAAACATGAACTCATTTATGGGTATAGAATACGGGTGTTAACAGAAAGAAAAGAGAGGTAGAAATGGAGAAGAGGGAGAGCAAAGCTCTGGTGTCACAAAAATGTGGTCCAGAGCTCATAGAGAAGGGCCTGGCAAAGTGGCAGCACCTGCCAGCATGGGCAGGAGAGCACAACAGCATTCCTGGAGACTCACTTTCACTCCTGTGACTCCGGATCCAGCCCTCCTCAATTTTCGGTGAGTATGAGGCCCATGGCTCTTCCCCCTTCTCCAGCCTGGAGATGACATCAGGTTTGGAACCTTGAAGTCCTGCTCCAGAGAAGGAAGCAAGGCTGACAATTCATCCAAATCCAGGGCAGAATGGCCCCATGGGCAGCACCTGTGTCCCGTTCATGACCTCCCTGCCACCTGTCTGTAAACCAAGGAGACAGATGCAGTCCTCTTCCCTAGCTGAAGAAAAGTTAAACCCAGCTCTTTTGGGGGCCAAGGATAAGGGACAGAGTTGGTGCCTGAACACATCACGCTAGAAAACTCATAATAGAGTCTTGGTGTTGACGTCCACAAGGACTAAAGGGAAGCAGCATATTCTGGTGTAAGGCAGGGCTTGAAACCAAATGGATTCAAATCCTAGATCTGCTCCTGACTGCCTGTGTGAACTTAAGAAAGTGATGATATCTATCAGCCTCAGATTCAACTATAAACCATTTAACCCAACACCAACCTTGAAGATGCATTACGATTAACTTGGGATGTGAATATACTTAGGGTTCAATGAATGATATTCTTCTTCCATATTTCCTACAAGGAAATTGGGGGAGTCTGTGGCGCTGCCTGTCCTCTCCTCTGTGCTCACTAGGCTTTCCTGGGACCAAAGTCAGAAATGCCTTGTGTTTGGCCCCAGAGGGTGAGATGCCTCTGAGCCTTGAGCCTAACTCTAGTCCTGTTCATGAGCAAGGAAACCAGAGCTGAACTTCAGAAAGAGTCTTACCCAGTGAGATCAGGTTTCTGTAGGTCTCCAGCATCACATTACTGTAGAGGCCCCTCTGAGCAGGGCCCAGACAGCCCCACTCCTCCCGGGAGAGGAACACAGCCACGTCCTCAAAGGAAACTAAGACCTGGAATGACAATATCTTGTTGCAACCCCAGGGTCAGGCCCAGGGTGGCTCATGATGGGCAAAACCCCTTTGAATGCATGTACCAGCCTGCTGTCCTCACAAGAGTGGGCTCTTTGAGACCACCACCATTTTGACTTGTCTCTGTCTGCCCAACCCCTGCCCTCTACTATGCCTTGTGCAGGGATTGGGAAGACATTGTGCAGCATATTTCAGGGACTTGAACTCAGGGACAGAGGACATTGGTGAAGACGGGGACCCATCTACCCGCTGGGACCAGCCCCTCATAGACAGAACCGTGGAGAGACTCTAGCCAAGAAAAGGCTAAGTCTACAGAGATATCTCCATGAGGACCACTCACCTGGGGCCCAGCAGGAAGGAGCTGCTTGACAGCCATCATTGGATCTCTTAGCTTGCCCCAAGGAGGCGGGCGAAACTGCAGGGAGAGGGAAGACTGTGATGGAGTGTGACCAGCCTGCTTTTCACAGCAACACTGAGACTTCTGTGCCTGGATCTCAAGAGGTCTATGGCAACAGAGACCAAGTTTGGGGCTGCCAGGAAGCTCTGGGAAGGGCAGATGGACTAAACACCCAGTGGTCTCTGAGACTATATCCCCTTGTCCACCATGAGGCTTCCCCAGCAGCCCCTGGTACAAACAGCATCCTGAGGCCACCACGTGATGGCCCCAGCAGTGCACCGGAGTAGACAATAGGCTGCATCTCAGGTCCACCTTGGAGGTCCTGGAGAGTGGGCACACAGCTGAGGACAAGCAATCCAGGCTCCTACTCTAGGATGGTGCACAAACAAGTAGGGAGGTTGACAGACAAAATGCCTGTGTCAGGTGATGCTAAGGGACAGAAAAAATGAACAGCATGAGGGCAGCAGCTGGTGGTAGGAGATATTTTACACAGGGTGGCCAGAGAAGACAACTTTGATAAAGCAACACCAAAGCAGAGGTCTAGATGGAGTGAGGGCAGACACTATGACACTATGTGGATATTAGGGGAGATACATCCCAGGAAGGGTAATGCAAAAGTGCAAAGGTTCTGAAGTGATGGCCCACCTGATGTGTTCAAGTTAAGGGCAAGGAGGCCAGACGGTGGAGTAGGGGAGGGCAAGAGAGAGGAGGGTGGGGTGCCTCATAGGCTATAGAACTTGGGCTTTTACTCTGAGTTGGGAAGCATCTGGAAGATCCGGGCAGTGATATGACCTGCCATGTGGCTTCTCCAGCTGCTGCTTTGAGAACAGACTAGGGGTGGGAGTGGGGAGTGTAAGGATCTAACAGGAAAACCAGTTGGAAGGCTCTAGCAACAATCCACCAGAGATGACAGTATCTTGGACCAGAGTGGTGGGAGCAGGTGATAAGTGATCAGATTCTAGATGCATTTCAGAGGTATAGTCAACAGGATTTGCTGAGGAATTAGGTCTGGGATGAGACACCAAGATTTTTGCGCCAAGCTACTGAGATGAGGAAACTTCCATTCACTCTAAAGGATAAGACTTACATCTGAAGGGTAAAAATTAAAAGCTGTTTTTGTACATGCTGTATTTAGGATGCCCATTAGATTTACAAGTGGAGAATCAGAGCTTTTGGATATACAGGTCCAAAACTCAAGAGAAAGGCTGAAGCTGGCTGGGTGTATTGGGAACTAGCAGTATATGTATGACATTCAGAACCACCCATCCGGTTTTACTTTAGGCTGACAGCTGACGTGAGGGCTATCCCTCCCAGGAAAACCTTCCCAAACAGCCTCTGATACAAAGGCATCTCCCACCTCCACAGCCCCCGACCCCAGGCAAACGAAACGTGTATCACAGGTGGACCTGCATTCTGCTTTTGCTTCCAGGCTGACCGGGAGGCATGTACCACGCTGCTGGAAGCGTGGGCTGGATCCCAATCTTGAACGCACCACCTGCTGGTGCAAACGCCTCAGGGAAGTGACTCGAGTCTCTACACGGACTTAAAATGAGACTCATCCTAAGTGACTGTTTTGAGAATTTAATGAAGAAACGTATAAGGTACTTTGCATGGTGCTGGCAAACCGCAAACAGGAGGCTGTAAGTAAGCCTTAATTACCACCATTGAGGCGATGCTTCCTGGGCACCCACCGAATGAAAGAACGAATGCTCCGGAAAATGATCTCCCGCCCGTCCGCTTTCAGCCCCAGCAACCGAGGCCCCTTCCCAGACAGCGTTCACAACTCCATCCTCTCCCCTCCTCGGCGCCCGCTGCGCGCAGGGCACTTGCCTCTTTCTGAGGAAAGCACGATCTGATTCATCCCCTGACCAAGCCCCAGTTTCGCCCCCTCGCTGAGGCCTTCCCCATCCGCGCGGCCGCCCGCCTCGGCGGCCTGCGGAGCCGGGGCCCCACCCCGCAAGCCTTGCGCGGGGGGCCTCCGCCGGGCCCCGCCCGCCTCTCACCCACGCGCGGCGCTCCACACTCCACGCCGCCTCCGCGCGCCTCGGAGCCCCCGGCCGCGCTCCCCGGGCCGTTCCGGCGCCTCCGCGCCCGCCGCACTACTCCCGACTCACTCGCCGCGGGCTCGGGCGGAGGCGCGGCTCGCAGACGCCAGACCGCCGGGCCCGAGCGGCCTGACAGGAAGTGCCCGCCCCGAACTTCCGCCGCGCCCTCCAGCTCGCCACCAATCGGATGCGCGCTTCCGGCGGCCGCTCTAGCGGTCAGAAGGTTCTGCGCCACTGGCGGGTGCCTGGGTCCTGGTCCCGGCTTCGGTGCACCAAGTAGGCCGGCCTGGTGAGAAGTGTTAGAAGTTCTCGAGAGAGTGGGAGCTCTTATCAGTCGGAAACTCATAAAGAAAGGAGAAGGGGCGGAGAGGGAATAAATGAAGGTGGGACAAAATATTTTATTTTTCTCACTCCTAATTAAAAGATTATTGTTTTACGAAGTAATAATAGCAATAGTGTATTGGATAATTATAGCACATGGATGAGTAACATGAGTGACAGCAGTGTCATAAGGGATGGGAGGGAGGAACTGGGAATACTTGGTTATAAGTACCTATGCTACCTACGAAGCACTATAGTGTTACTTGAAAGCGGACTCAGATTAATTGCAAATATATATTGCAACCGTGAAAATATTTTTCAAAGAAGTATAAATAATATGCTAAATACGAGAAAAATTGGAATTAAATAAAATGCTCAGTTAAACCAGAGAAGGCAGAAACAGGGAAAGATTTTATTTATTTATTTATTTATTCATTGTTTATTTATTTATTATTACTATTTTTTTTAAGTAGGCTTCACGCCCAATGTGGGCTTGAACTCACCATCCTGAGATCAAGAGTCAACATGCTCTCCCGACTGAACCAGCCAGGCACCCTGGGAAATATATATTTTTTAAAAGAAACAAATGCAATGAATAAAAAAACAGTTACAAACATGGTACATATTAATCCACACTCTTCTCAAGGTCACATGGAACAGTCACCAAGAAAAACCACATTCTGAGCCATAGAACACATCTTAGCAAATTTAAAATGATAGAAATCATACAAAACATGGTCTCAAACCACAATGAAATTAAGCTAGACATCAATAACAGAAAGATAGCTAGATAATCCCAAAATATTTGGAGACTAAACAATACGCATGTAAAAAACACATGGTCAAAAAAAGTCTCAAAATTTAAAAAATATTTTAGAGGTTAAGATCCAAATTATAAAAATTTGTGGATATCAACAAACAAATTCTAAAGTTTGTAAGGGAAGTCAAAAGACCCAGAATAGCCAACACAATACTGAAGAACAGCATAATCTAAGCACTGATTCTACCCAACTTTAAAACACTCTATAAAGCTACAGTAATCAAGACAGTGTGGTATTGGTGAAAGAAGAGACAAATAGACTAATGGAACAGAATAGAGAGCCCAGAAATAGACTCCTACAAATATGGTCAATTGATCTTTGATAAAGGAGAAAAGGCTGTTAATGGAGAAAAGATAATCTTTTTCAATATATTGTACTGGAACAATTGGACATCCACATCAAAGAAAATTTTTAGACCTAGACGTTACTTTCCACAAAAACTAATTCAGAATGGATCTTAGAGCTAACTAGGTGTTTAGTTTGTTTTTAATAACTCCTAGGAAGACTCAAAGTTCTAATCAAGGTGACCTTGAAATAAAAATCAGGGGCTGGCTGAGACAAGATTGTAATTTTGTATCTTCTCCAGGCTGCTCCTGTATGTTCCTTGTTCCAGCATAGCATCAGTCATCTTTCCATGGAACTCTGGTTTCTTTTATTGGAGAATGGTATTAGAAATCAAGATCTGGATGCCAAGTATGCTCATTGCCAGTGAATTGTCATTGCTTCTAGGTCATCTCAGCTGACACAGCAAGGAATTACATATGTGTATACTAATCTATATACACACATATAAATATTTCTATACATATCTGTATTTATATTAAGCTAAACCTGATATTTCCAACTCTAATCCATTGCTGCATGGATCATTCTAGTCTTTCTCCCTTGCTTGTCTGTGATCTCCCACTTCAACAGTAAGAAATCTGGCTCTTATCTTCTGTCACCCATTTATTTAATTATTCAGTTCCAGTATATATGTACAGTGGACTCTCACTTTTTATGTATCTCCTCTGTTTTTCTGGATTTCTATCTTTTCTTACTATAGTACTTCCTTCTACAAAAGAATAAGTGATTTCAGAAAAGGCTCACTGTGCCTGAGAATTTGTTTATTGCACCATCACTTTATTTTTTTTTTAAATACGGGCTTGAACTCACAACCCTGAGATCAATACCTGAGCTGAGATCAAGAGTCAGATGCTTAACCAACTGAACCACCCAGGGGTCCCCCCATCACTTTTTTTTAAAGTAGACTTTTTAGGAGCACCTGGGTGGCTCAGTTGGTTAAGTGACTGCCTTCGGCTCAGGTCATGATCCCAGGGTCCTGGGATTGAGCCCAGAATAGGGCTCTCTGCTCAGCGGGGAGTCTGCTTCTCCCTCTCCCTCTGTTCCTCTCCCCTGCTCGTTCTCTCACTCTCTCTCTCCCCTCCTGTCTCTCAAATAAATAAATAAAACAAACAACCCCCCCTGCTGTTTAGTTTTAAGTTTACAGCAAAATTAAGCAAAAGTTAGGGAGATTTCCCATGCACCCCCTGCTCCCACAGCCTTCCCTACTATCAAATTCCCAAACTAGAGTTGAACATTTGCATTTATTTATTTTTTATTTTTATTATTATTATTTTTAAATATTTTATTTTATTTTATTTATTTATTTGACAGAGACAGACAGCAAGAGCAGGAACACAAGCAGGGGGAGTGGGAGAGGGAGAAGCAGGCCTCCCGCTGAGCAGGGAGCCCGATGCGGGGCTCGATCCCAGGACCCCGGGACCACGACCTGAGCTGAAGGCAGACGCCCAACGACTAAGCCACCCAGGCGCCCCTATTTTTATTATTTCTTAAAGATTTTATTTATTTATTTGAGAGAGCGCGAGTGAGAGATCACAAACATGGGGAGCAGCAGAGAGAGAAGGAGAAGTGGACTCCCCGCTGATCAGGGAGCCAGATGCGGGTCTTGATCCCAGGACCCTGGGGTCATGATGAGCCAAAGGCAGCTGCTTAACTGACTGAGTCACCTAGGTGCCCCTATTTATTTATTTTTAAGTTAAGTAGGCTCCATGCCCAACATGGGGCTTGAACTCACAACCGCGAGATCGAGTAACATGCTCCACCAACAGAGCCAGCCAGGCACCCCTAGAGTCAAACATTTTTACAATCTATGAACATACGTTGACACATCATTCTCACCCAAAAGTCCATAGTTTACATTAGGGTTCACTCGTGCTGTTGTACATTCTATGGGTTTTGAAAACTGTATAATGATATGTATCTACCGTTAGAATGTTGTACAGAGTAGTTTCACTGCCCTAAAAGATCCTCTGTGCTTCAACTATTCATCTTGTACTATCACTTTATTTGTTAATTTTTACATTTATTTATTTTCTATTTTTTAGAGAGAGGGGGAAGAGAGAGCATGTGAACGGGGTGGAGGGAGAGGCAGAGAGAGAGAGGGAGAAAGGTGATCTTAACCAGGCTCCACACTCAGCACGAGCCCAATGTAGGGCTGGATCTCACCACCTGAGATCATGATCTGAGCCAAAGTCAAGTATACTCCACGATCTGAGCCACCCAGACATCCCTGTACCATCACTTAAAATGATAGCCCAAGTTTACCCCAAGTATAAAAATCTAGGTGCAAAATTATTTTCTTTCAACGTTATGATTATATTATTTTATTGTTTTCTTGTTTCCAGTATCATTATTGACAAGTCTGATGTTAATTAAAATATTTTTCTTTTGTAAGTAATAATCTCCGCCTAAAAGCTTTTGAGATACCATTTTTTTCTTTTTATATTCTTAAATTTCACTACAGTGTGTCTAGTGCATGTGTTTTTTCTTTCTTTCATGTTTAACACTCAAGGAGCCATTTTAGTCTGAGGTTGCTGATCCTTTATTCCAAGTCACTTTAAAAATATTTCTGTCTTCCATTTATTTTTTCCTTTAAATGTCATTTTGATACTTCTGTTTTCATCTTTTATATCACCCAATTTTTTTTTTTTAAGTAGGCTCCGCACCCAGCATGGAGCCCAACACAGGGCTTGAACTCACGACGCTGAGATCAAGACCTGAGCTGAGATCAAAAGTTGTACACTTAACTGGCTGAGCCACCCAGGTGCCCTGGCACTAGTCTTTTGAAAGAACTTATTTCCTATAGCTGGAATCACCTGATGTTAGGGCTGTGTTAGGGCTAGGTTCTGGTGACTCCTAACATAACTCCACTGGACTGCGTGCTGCTGGGATTGTGTTTGCATGTATCAGCCTGCTATGGGCTGAATTGTGTCTCTCCCCCAACCCCAGAAGTCCTAGTCCCAGTACATCAGAATATGACCTAATTTGGAAATAAGATATAATTAGTTGCAGATATAATTAGTTAAGATGAGGTCATACTGAAGTAGGGTGGACTCCAATTTGATGTCCTTGTAAGAAGATAGCCATCTGAAGACAGACACAGGGAGAAGATCATGGGAAGACCAGGGCTGATACTGGAGTTATACAAGCCAAGGAATGCCAAAGACTGCCAGAAAACCACCAGAAATTAGGAAGAGGCAAGAAAGGATTTTCTTATAGGTTTGAGAGAGAGCATGGCCCTGTTAACAGCTTGGATCTGTACTTTTACCCTCCAGAGTTGTGAAAAACATATTCCTATTGCTTTAAGCCACATGGTTTGTAGCACTCTGCTATGGCAGCCCCAGGTGGCCAATATATATTTTCACAGTGGTGAGGGCACAGGTAGCGATCTTCCCAAAGGCAGTGAGATGGGGGAGTTTCTCGCCATCCCCCTTCCACCAGGGTTCACTACCCCAGGGTTTCAGTTCTCTCCAAACCTTTCCTCTCCCAAGATAGTTCTCACAGCACTTACTTTTGCCCTCCAGTGCCATATACTTTTTGTTTACTTCTGTGGTATGAAAGTAAGATCTTGGACTCAGAATTTAGAATTAGACTGTGCTTCTAACCAAAAACGAAATGGGCTCCCAGTCAGACATTGGGAGGTCGCCACACCTCAGTTTCTTAGTTCATCAAAATGATGTTCCTTTTACACACAGCTACAATCTAAGACAAACCCCCTTCCCCAAGAATGCCTTATGGTCAGTAGAGGTAGTGTCTTGTGACATTTGTATGGAGAAAGGAATCACTCAAGTAACAGGGGAGTGGGCTTCCTGACAGTAAGATCACAAACAGGAGACCTTACGTGACTTGCAGGGCTGGGGTGGGGTTGGGGGGAAGCCGTCTTGGTAGACATAAATTAACACACTTCAAAAAGACTGTTTGAAAGGGGACCTGATATTATATCTTTAAAAGGGAAAAGTATATTTTTTAAGATTGTATTTATTAATTTGAGGTGGGGAGGGGCAGAGGAAGAGGGAGAGAGAGTCTTTTTTTTTTTTTAATTTTGTGTACTTCAATAGGTAGTAATAGTCTCAAAAATCTTTCTCTTCATCAGATATTTGATCCCCTTGCAAAACTTTTGGCCTTTGAACTTGAACGTGGAGCTTTACTCCATCAAGAATATGATTTTCTTGTAGTGCATTCTGAAGTTCTTCTGAAGAAAACTGAATCCAACCCATACCTCTGTGAAATCCAGTCTCTTTGTCAAAAGGTACAGTGCACTTTTGTGCATGGCCAAACTGTGCAAAGTGTAGGAGAGAGTCTTTTTTTTTTTTTTTAAAGATTTTATTTATTTATTTGACAGAGAGAGACACAGCGAGAGAGGGAACACAAGCAGGGGGAGTGGGAGAGGGAGAAGCAGGCTTCCCGCCGAGCGGGGAGCCCGATGCGGGGCTCGATCCCAGGATCCCGGGATCATGACCCGAGTGGAAGGCAGACGCTCAACGACTGAGCCACCCAGGCGCCCCTAAAATCTACTGAGATTTAATTTGTGTTCTAACATATAGTCTATCCTGGAAAATGTCCCATGTATACTTGAGAACATGTAGAGGTTTGTTGGGTAGAGCGTTCTATATATGTCTGTTAGATCTAGCTGGTATTTTTGTTTTTAAAGCCTCTACTTTCTTACTTCTGGCTGTTCTATCCATTATTGAAAATAGGGTATTGAAGTCTCCAACTATTATTGTACCACTGTCTATTTCTCCCTTTAATTCTGTCAGCTTTTGCTTCATATATTTGATGGGTCTGTTGTTAGGTGCATAAATGTTTATAACTCCTATAACTTCTTTATTTAACCTTTTATTAATGTTAATATATTAATAATGTCCTTCTATGCCTCCTGTAAACTTTTTTTGACTTAAAGTCTGTTTTGTCTGATATTAGTACAGTCATCTGCTATCTTTTGAGTACTATTTGCATGGAATATCTTTTTCCATCCTTTCACTTCCATCTATTTGTATCTTTGGATCTAAAATGAACCCTTGTAGGTAGCATATAGTTTGATCATGTATTTTTTTCCATTCTGCCAATCTTTGTCCTTTGATTGGAGAATGTAATCCATTCAGATATAAGTAACTATTGATAAAGAGGGACTTCTGTCATTTTGCTATTTATTTTCTATGCCTTATAGCTTTTTTGTCCCTCATTTTCTGTATTACTTCTTTTGTGTGTTTATCTTTTGTAGTAAAATCCCTTTCTCACTTCCTTTGCATATATTTTATAACTATTTGTTACCATCAGAATTACATTTAATATCTTGAAGTTATAACACTCTAATTTGAATTTACACCAGTTAAACCTCAATAAAAGAAAAGCTCTGCTCTTTTACAGCTCTATCCCCATCCCTTTTGGTTGTCAGTATCACAGTTACATCTGTATACCCTGTGTGCCTCAAAACATGAACTAAGAATTATTTTAAATGCACTGAACTCTTAAATTACATAGAGAACAAAATTTAGAGTTTATTTATTTTTTTAAAAAGATTTTATTTATTTATTTAATTGACAGGGAGAGAGAGAGAGACAGCATGAGAGGGAACACAAGCAGGGGGAGTGGGAGAGGAAGAAGCAGTCTTCCGGCTGAGCAGAGAGCCCGATGTGGGGCTCGATCCCAGGACCCTGGGATCATGACCTGAGCTGAAGGCAGTCGCTTAACCAAATGAGCCACCCAGGCGCCCCAAAATTTAGAGTTTAAAACCAAAGTTACAATAACACTAGCTTTCAGACTAATAGCTGAGTTTGTAAAAAAAAAAAGTTTCTTGAATCACGTGGACAGCAAAAAGTAGAGTTACAAACCATTGTTACAATACTAGCTTTTATAATTGCCCATGTATTTACCTTTACTGAAATATTTATTTCTTCATGACTTTAAGTTACTGTCTAGTGCCCCTTCATTTCACCCTGCAGGACTCCCTTCAGCATTTCTTGCAGAGCAGGTCTAGTGGTAACAAACCCCCTCAAGCTTTTGTGTATCTGGGAATGTTTTAATTTTACTTCACTTTTGGACTGTTTGCCAGATATAGGGTTCTTCGATGACGTTTTTTTTTCTTTTTTCTTTTAGCAACTTGAATATATTGGCCCACTGCCTTCTGGGCTCCAAAGTTTCTGATGAGAAATCTGCTAGTAATCTTACTGAGGATCTCTTGTACACAACGAGTCACTTCTCTTCTGCTCCTTTCAAGATTCTCTTCACCCAGCCAGAATTACTCTGATTATTATTTCCCAACGAACACGGAAGGTATCACAGGCTCCCTCCACCGCTGCAGCCCTGACTGCCTCCCTGCCTGAGACCAGTCCCTTGTTGGGGCGCTGAAACCCATCTCTGCTCCATCCAGTCCACCTGTTCCAGCAACTACCAGGAGGGTTTCTAGAAGTGGGGTGGGAGTAGGGGGGAGTTGTCCAGTGGAGTGAGTGGTTAGCTAAGATGATTGCCATAGAACTGACCAGACTGACCAAAATGGTCATTCGGGTAATGTCGGATTGCTGCCCTTGGAAACAACTGACCTTTCTTTTTGACTTGTTGACTTTTACTTGCAGGGGAAACACAGTCATGGAAATCCGAAAATATGTAGCTCTTTCTCACTTCCCTTCCTCATTTCACTTAGCCCACCTGCTGGATGGTGGGAGATTTGCTGGGCAGACCCCGAGGTAGGGCTTAAGTAGGTTACCGCGGCTCCCGGACTCAGCCCGGCTCCCTGGCTCCCGAGCCTGGCCGGGCTCCCCAGCGCCACGCTTTACCTCCACCTTCTATCCGTGCACTGGGGCTGGGACTCGCGGGACCCGTCGGAGGTGACCTGGCCCTCCGCGTCTCCACCCTGGAAGCCCGCCCCATTCTGGCCGCAGCTGGGGAGCCCCAAAACAGACCTGGGCCGGCCCTACCCGCGTCGGTCTGGGGTCGTGGCCGCACCCCGATTCCTGCGCCGCCCCTAGGTAACACTAACCCTAGCCTTCTGAACCCGCTCTGGCGGCGAGGGGGACTCGGCTACCGGTCCTCCTCTGGGCCCGCTGTCCACCTCCAGGCCTCCTCCGAGTCTCCTATGTTCCTGTGTCTGGTTCTTTCATTGCCCCCAGTAAACAGGGCGGCCATGGATCTTTATTCTCCACCGTCCCCTCAAAGGCAGCAGCCACGGACCCTGCCCGTCCTGAGTCCCCGATAAACAAAGCCCCGGGAGTTTCTCTCCGTCCCGTGCCCGCAAGCAACAGCGCCCGAGGTAGCGCCTGTTCTCCGCCCTCCCTTCCCGTCCTCTGCCCCCAGTGGACACGGCGGTGCGTCCTTGTCCGTCCTGTGCCCCCAACAAACTTGGCCCAAAGTACCTTCCGCCGGAAGTCTGGCGCAACGGCTGCTGGGTCAGCTTTCTGGTTCGGGCTTTTGGTGGGAGCCAGAAAAGTCGAACACACACCCATAAAGGTCATCTCCGCAGGTTTTAACGAAGTCACTGTGATTGCATTGATCGTTCCCAGCCTCCTCAGCTGCACGTTCTAATCTCAAAATTACATCTACAGGTGACGAAACTCCACGGTGTTGATTCCAACTGGTTTCAGTCTTAGAGGCAGCCATGCTTGCAAGTTCTAGGGTCTCTTTATATCGCCCCTCCGTGCTAACTGCATTTTTAGTGCCGTGATCAGGAACAACTAAGGATAGCCTGAAACATTTAACAATGTACATACCGTGTTGTGTGACAAAAGGGCAAAAGAAAGTGGATTACTAACCCTAACCTTTGGGCAGCTACACCAGTTATGTCACGAATTTGCTAACTGGATGGGAGTGATAAACCAGGACGTCCCTGAGGCTGTGGGAAAAGCCCGGCGCTTCTGGCATGTGGACCAGGCTCTTCTCTGGTGGCCCTTAGATGACTCCAACAGTTAGGCAAGTTAGTGAATTAAAGGGAGTGTTCAGAATAGTTTGGAAGGAGGTTGGTATTGGTGAGTATTATTGCCCAGGACCATGTGAGGACAGGCGAGATGAGAGGGACCAGGAGGCTGAGCCGTAGGAAAGGGAAATGGGACGGGGGACGTGCAGGTGCCCTCTCCTCTGTGCTGCCTCACCCACTGGCTCTGATTTACCCTCCAAGGATGCAGAACTGCTTCCCCTTGCTCTGTGCTCCAGGCTGAGATGAACTTCAAAGACCGTGTCCCTCTCCTTGATGGAGTGGTGCCTTCTAGGTCCAGCTCAGTGGGGCTTCTACAGGGACATGATACAGGAGACCTGCAGGAATCTAGTCTTGCAGGGTAAAAACTGCCCTGCAAATCTTAAATGCATCTTAGCTTCATTCTCTCTAAGCATAACTGTGGGTTCTGAAGCTGAGTGATGTTTGGATTTAGGATCCATCAAGGCTTAAGACAAGAGAAGGCCTCATCTCTCAGGCAGTTTAGTACACTGGGAAGACCATGGATTTGAAGTCAGACCTGGGATGGGGTCAGTTCTGTACTTAGACTCTTTTTTTTTTTTTTAAAGATTTTATTTATTTATTTGAGACAGAATGAGAGACAGAGAGCACGAGAGGGAGGAGGGTCAGAGGGAGAAGCAGACCCCCTGCTGAGCAGGGAGCCCGATGCGGGACTCGATCCCGAGACTCCAGGATCATGACCTGAGCCGAAGGCAGTCGCTTAACCAACTGAGCCATCCAGGCACCCCTGTACTTAGACTCTTGTTCAAGACATTTAAATTCTCTGAGCCTTGGCTTTTTCTTCTTCTTTTTTTTTTTTTTAAGATTTTATTTATTTATTTGAGAGAGAAAGAGCGAGCGATTGAGAGAGCATGAGTAGGGGGAGAGGCAGATGGAGAGGGAGAGGCAGACTTCCCCGCTGAGCAGGGAGCCTGATGTTGGGCTCTATCCCAGGACCCTGGGATCATGACCTGAGCCAAAGGTAGCCTCTTAACTGACTGAGGCACCCAGGGGCCCCTGAGCCTTTGTTTCTATTAAGAAGAGAATAATTCCTTATAGAGTTGTTTAAATTAAATGAGATAAGTATATTAAGTTCCTAGTTGAATACCTAATAACTTGTAGTGAATTAAAAAAAAAAAAGTTCAGGGCGCCTGGGTGGCTCAGATGGTTAAGCGTCTGCCTTCGGCTCAGGCATGATCCCAGGGTCCTGGGATTGAGTCCCGCATCGGGCTCCCTGCTCCTTGGGAGCCTGCTTCTCCCTCTGCCTCTCTCTCTCTCTCTGTCTCTCATGAATAAATAAATAAAATCTTTAAAAAAAAATAATAATAATAAATAAAAATAAAATGCAAATTTAAAAAATATTAAAAAAAAAAAGTTCAGTTTCCTTTTCTCCATTGTTAAGGAGAGTTTGAAATGGGCTGTCTTCTTTTGGGATCCCGGATTTTACACTTTCTTCCTCTTTGAGCTCCTTTGATAACCAGCCTAAACCCTCCAATTCCAGGACTCCTTCAAAGGTCCAGCATGAAACCCACACCCAGTGTCAGCTGATTCGTTGCATCACCATTGTTTTATCTGGGATTCTTGATTGTGTGGAAATATTGGGAAACTTGCAGAATCAACGGAGGTGGTGTAGGAAACAAGGATGCTTTGGAAGAACAGGGGCAGCAGGCTCCACATAGCTGGAACTGTCTGCTCTGCTAAGTGAAATTTCTACCAATGTTCCCTCTGCCTTTCTCTGATTCACACACATAGGTCACATATGTTCTCCCTCACTGGACTGTGACAGGGAGAGGAAGCTTATGACTCAGCTTCCCAAGAGGAAAACTTGAATTAATGTTCCTCCAAGATTACACACGGTGGGGCTGAGTCAGTTCCCCCAAAAGAACCTGGGTGCTACTAAGAAGGGGGCAGGTGTTAGCTAAAAACCAGCAAATGCCAACCATGTGAAGCACCTTTATCCAAGTACTGTGTCAAGCTCTTCACATAATCTCACTTATTTCTTGCAACAAACCAGTGAAGGCGGGTGCAACTACTCCCCACACTTTACAGACGAAGAACTGGATGACCAGAGAGGTTAAATACCTTCTTTAAAGTTACACAGTAAATATTGGAGCTGAGATTTGAATGCAGACATTCCCACCTTCACAGTAGTGCTCTTGACCACTGCGCCATACTCTTTTTCTGCTTTCCCACTGAGGAAAGGAGACACAATGCTATCATCCTTATCACTTAGGAAATTCCAAGGGTTTTAGAACTCTGTGCCATGAACCAGGGACAAAAATAAAATATTTTTCTTATTATATCATATTTTTTAGATGATCTGTGTTCCACTTTGAATCCTAATAGCAATTAAACAATAACATATGCAGGATTAATTACAAAAAATGTGAAAGGCCTTTAGAGACAAAGTTTTGAAACTTTATTGAAAAATACAGAGAAGGGCGCCTGGGTGGCTCAGTTGGTTAAGCGACTGCCTTCGGCTCAGGTCATGATCCTGGAGTCCCGGGATCGAGTCCCACATCGGGCTCCCTGCTCAGCAGGGAGTCTGCTTCTCCCTCTGACCCTCCTCCCTCTCATGCTCTCTGTCTCTCATTCTCTCTCTCGCAAATAAATAAAATCTTTAAAAAAAAATTAAAAAAAAAAAAAGAAAAATACAGAGAAGACCTAAATAAATGAGAGGTATTCCAGGTTCATGTTAGATTCATGATTATTTAATATGGAGAGTCAGTTCTCACAAAATCCTTTATAGAATTAATTCTAACAAAATCCCAAAGGAGTTTTTAATGGAAACTGACAAGCCAATTTGAAAATGTATATGGAAAAACAAAGGTCCAAGAATAGTTGAGGTGCCCTAGAAGTAAAAGAACAGGGTGGGGGGATTTACTTTATCTGTATTAGCCTTATTGTATATTTTTTAATTTTAAAATTTAAATTCAACTTAATTAACATATAGTGTATTATTAGTTTCAGAGGTAGACTTCAGTGATTCATCATTTGCATATAACACCCACTGCTCATTCCATCAAGTGCCCTCCTTCATGCCCATCACCCAGTTACCCCATCCCCCCCCACACCTCCCTTCCAACCAACCTATTTCCTATAGTTGAGTCTCTTATGGTTTGTCTCCGTTCGTCTTATTTTTCCTTCTCTTCCCCTATGTTCATCTATTTTGTTTCTTAAATTCCACATATGCGTGAAATCATATATTTGTCTTTCTGTCTTATTTTGCTTAGCAGCATACCCTCTAGTTCCATCCACATCATTGTAAATGTCAAGATTTCATTCTTTTTGATGGCTGAGTAGTATCCCATTGTATATATAGACCACATCTTCTTTGTCCATTCATCTGTCGATGGACATTTGGGTTTTTTTTTTTTTAAAGATCTTATTTATTTATTTGACAGAGAGAGAGAGAGAGAGTACAAACAGGAGGAATGGCAGAGGGAGAGGGAGAAGCAGTCTTCCCGCTGAGCAGGGAGCCCGATGCAGGGCTCGATCCCACGACCCTGGGATCATGACCTGAGCTGAAGGCAGATGCTTAACTGACTGAGCCACCCAGGTGCCCCGGACATTTGGGTTCTTTACATAGTTTGGCTATTGTGGACATTGTTGCTAGAAACACTAGGGTGC